TTTTTAAAGAAGCGAAACAACCCTAAAATAAATTAGGACAAATTTCTTTGAAAATGAGTTTGAGGCCGATCCATTGGTTAATAAAAAAGTTTCATACAACAAGTTTTCGCTATTTACCCACTGTAGTGGGGGGAATTTCCCAAATCGCTGAAATCGTATATATCGGACAGAATTTAAAACTGCACCTTCATCACATAAGGTAACTACAGTGCTTCCTAGCTCACGAATCAGTCAGACAGTCAGGATAAACAGTTTTATATATCGCTCAATTTAATATTTCTAACGTTTGTTCCCACGTTGCTTTCCGGCAATTGGCCCTAGCTTTCGGTGATGTCTTTTCATTGTTGTTGCTCTGCAAAAAAAGGAAATTTAAAAAATTAATATCAACTGTAAAAACCATAAGAATATGCAAACAATTATACACACCTGTTGAAGTTGAAAGAAGTTTTCGCTTGCATAAATTATATATGAAGGCTGGAGATGTTCTGTAAAAAGATAATTAAATAAGCTATAAGACCAACTGTCCATAATTATACGATAAAACAAAGTATAGTACGCACCTGTTGAAGAGCTGAAGACAAATGTCAGATTGCACGAAATGTTGAATTGCAGAGTGGAGATATCCTGTAAAGATAAATAAAAAACTAGGACCAACTGTTAATACTTTTAAGAAAATGAAACCAATTATACACACATATTGAAAGAGAGAAATGTCCAGCTAAATTTCCATTGATGGGGAGAGGGGACATGATAGGCCATCTAGTGCCCAAAATAAAGTAGACGAGATAAGGTTATCGTCTCAGGTAGGGCGGGTACGCCGGTTTCGGAGCCAGAACCCGACCAGGAGAAATAAAGTCGATCAAAAGTGTTTTTTTATTGTTAATCTATGTCGGCGTCTCATCCTTGTTGTTTACATTTATTGTTTTCACAGCTGTTTATGTTGTTTATTTGTTATGAGTTCCGGTTATTTGATGTTTATCGATTTTGTAGTTCGTTTTGGATAGTGTTGTGCGGGTCTGTTTTGCTACAGATGTTGTAGCTTGTTAGAATCGATTGTGCGAACTGCGGGACAGGGATGGGACTACACCCAGAGAACCGATTATCCAGCCAGCGCGGCCCAAGAAAAACGAGAAGTCACATAACAGTACCTAATTTAAAAGATATTTGGTATTTCTGCAAAATGCGTTCTATTGTACTTCGTACGTTTTTTAATTATTGCATTTATCAACCGCGGCAAATATGAATTTGAGTCCCCACCTCATCGCCGGTAAAAACTAGAATTTTTGAATGCGTCTTCTATTTCTGGCTGTTCCTAGCAACTACGATTTACCGCTTATCACGTCTGGGTTAACCGCCGTTTTTATTTCTTGTAGAACCAACGATTTGTGAACAAACTGTTGTTTATGACGCAGCTTGTTACCAAACAGAATGTATTTGCTTTTGACGGGGAAACGGGCATCGTCTAAATTTATTGGATTGATTACTGAAGCAGTTCAACAGTTTTACCGTTGTTTTGACAGTTCACTGTGGATAGTGACAGCATAGTAAGTGTCATACTAGTTTTCTAGATCGTTCACATTTTACCAAGTTTGTAAAAAGTCTTATCATGGAGCTCATTAGTAAATTGCAAGTTTTATAAATTTTTGCATTGGAGTTCTTTTCTGAGACAGCAAATTTTTATGATTCATGGTAAATGATTATGTCTTCTACTCCGTACACGGAATGAAGGAGCTTTGCTCAGCCCCAAGCGATAGCTAACAACTGTCCCATTTGTTGTGTATTTCGATTCGCTGTTTTTTAATGTTCTAGGTATCATGGTTACTTAGGGAAAGAACTGAGCCTATCCCATTATTTATATCGTTATATCGAAGGGTTTCTTATAGTCTGGGTTGGTGAGCATAACGTTTTTTGAGGCATGCGTGTTTACTAACTAAGTCGTTTTTACCGTTAAGAATGCTTAAAATCAGATTTGCAATGGAAGCGTAGTCTTCAAAAATATTCCCGTAATAACGGCCAAGAAATGATCTGAGGTCGAACAAGGCTTTAAGCTCAACGTACTCCTTTATGTCTTTGTCCATTTCGAGTTCCGTTTTTGTGACCTTGCAAGACACCACAAAATATTGCAATTCAACGCAAGTTTTCAGAGAAAATAATCACATCGTCCATATAAACTTAAAATATCTTGCCGATTTGTTTGCGCAAAACTTCTTCGAAAGCCCTCAGAAATATTCGTTATAAGGTCTTATACTTCACGATTCACAAGCTCGATAACTTCCATTAGGAACAACTATATATAGCTTTGAATACATGGGCTGGTTATTTGGTGTTCATTCATTCAGTATGTTAGCGATACCACTTAATCGGTAGACTACCTTTGGCCAGATATATATTTTGTTTCTATTTATTTTAATTTGACACTTCCTTAGAATTACAAATGTTTCAGTCTCTTCTCCGCGTTTCTTTCACGGACTTCAGCTGTCGATGACATCTTAATCTGTAATTCGCCTCTCCTTTGGTACTCGCTTGGCTTCGCAAGAGTTTAGAAGCAGCACAATGCATCGGGAATCACGAAAAGAGGAAGATTGCAGCCTTTCCGTACTGTATATAGAAATGAAAGTCAATAATATTACTATTTCAATTTAGCAAATATTAATAGCAAAAGGTCATCGATTACATCAACTGATGTTGCGCATTATGTATGCATACTAAGACACACAAAAATACAAATAACGCAAAAAACATAACGCACTAACGCAAAAAAGGTGTCACAAAGGGCTTGCTTACTCAGACTACAAAAAAAAATATTATTTTGAATTTTTTACCTATTTAGTGGGCTTCGCGATGAGCCAAAATAAAGTTCCTCTCTAATAGATAAGAAAGTCCGCACATACTAAGTGAACTACTTACAATTGTCGTATTACTTACCGCCACACTAACAAATAATTTTCTGAGAGAAAACTAAGTGATACAATTAAGAGGTTCTAGTCGGGAACTCCCGATTAGGGAATACCCTGAACCCGCTTATTTCAACACCAAATGCAGCAAGCGCTACGCGCTCGTATGAAATAATAAAGATAAATTAAAACAAAAAGTTTTTTTTTAAGTATGTTTATTGTTTTGAATCAAAACTAGCATACAATTTTATTAAAACACGCTTAGCTTAGGTGATATTTCGGCAAGCCTGGTTGGGCCCTCAGGCTTTATCGTGGACAAACGTCAAAGGCGTCTTATTTTAATAAGGCTGCAACCTCACGTAGGTAGTCGGGGGCTCTGGGGCGTCTCCTGTGTCTAGTTTGGAGAAGGTCCTTGAAGGATCTTCTCTTGAGCCTCCTGACTACACACCTCCCAGTGAGGTCTCTTGCTACCCGGTTACAGTGTCACTGCATGCGTTCGTTGTATCGGCTGGCGAATGCTTCGACTTGGCTGTCTATAGTCTCCATTTTGAGGTCTCTGTGCAAGGTAGAATTTCTGATGTACCAGTCAGCACCGATCATTCGGGTAAGGCCAAGTATTGGAGTGTTTGAATCCGTCTTCGATGTGTCCGAGATGCAATGCTCCAAATATGGATACCGTATCTCCAAGTTGGCGCCACCACGACGTTGTAAATTGCCCGTTTGCAGCGAAGTGGCAATGGGCTTTTGGGGCTTAGTAGCCAGTTGGCCTTGGCCATTTTAAAGCGACACTGCCTGAGAAGGCCGTCGATGTGCGCCCAAAAAGTAAGCCTCTCATCCAGGACAATTCCAAGATACTTGGTGGTTGTGCCAGGGTGAAGGGGGCTGCCATCTTTCCAGACTGCTGGAGCCTTGCCACGCCTCAGTGCGTAGTTGACCGCCTGGCACTTCGAGGCACAGAGCTTTTGAAGCTTTTTTCTAAATTGCTTAAAATACCTAAAATTTCTCTTCGGAGGTAAACGGCGAAAAAAAGTGGTATTGTATTTATGCGTGTATTATATTATACATGTTTGAGTTCATTAATTAAAAACTAAATTGCAGTTTTCTGTCAACGGTCGATTTAATGGCGAAGTACAGCCTATACGGCACGCGTTTTGCGCCCTCCTACGAATCGGTCGGGCAATCGCGAACGCTCTCTCTCTTTCCACGCTCAGCGCTGTGGATCGTGAGATCGGCGCTAACCCCCTCTCGCTATTTGGACGCAGCAGAGTGTTCGACCAATTCCCAGATACCTCGACAACAAACAACAACAAACAAATATCCATGCCGACAATACCAAATACAATAACGCACGTAAACATCACAAGCAATTTTATGAATATCTGAGAATGCTTCATAATAATTTTATTAAACCTTATTAAAAAAAAAAAAAGATAGGGAATTCGTCACTTCGAGATGCTTGGAGTCTGCAACAAGTATCAAACGCGTATTAAATGACTTTTCGTAATAATCTTTGTAAATGAATTTGAAAAAGGTTGCAAGAGCAAAGTTTGTCAGTGGAAGATCATTCGCAAAGATCTTAAGAAAATTAATTTGAGACGTGTTTTAGAGTTTTTGTGGTTGTTTTTTGTTTGTTGTCCGATCGGCTTCAAACTTTTTTTCAAAGATCTTTATGAAAATGTATTTAATCTATCGCTCTGGGCGAAAACTTTTGATTCCAAGATTTGGTTCTTTATTCGATGGACTTTAAACTTATTTTAAAATAGAAGTGGAGTAAACACTTTTTCCCAGAAACTGGTGAAAAAGTAATATTTACAAAACTTGCCACGGCCAAGTTCGAGTTAAACATGCTAGTTCCCTATATATACTTACGATTTTTTTTAATATTTGTTATTTTTAAATCTTTAGTTTTTTGTGAAGAAGTGAATAATTATTAAACAGGAAAGAAAAAAGTATATAAAAATATGCGAAAAGTGTAAAGATTAACTTATGGTATTATGCGTATATCCATATGTGTTCTCTTCGTTCCATAATTACATTCTAGTGTGAATGGGCTATAATCAATATTATTTGGAGCAGAAAAACTATGTTCTTTGAAACATTGATTAACAAGTCTTTGTCGCGTGCGTATCTATTGAAATTTATTTATTGAAAATGAGTTTTAAGATTCAGCCAAAAGGCTTTGCTACAAAATCAATTCACGCCGGTCAGGATCCGGAGCAGTGGAAAAGTGCATGTGTCATACCTCCCATATCATTGAGCACTACTTTCAAACAGGATGCACCAGGAGAGCACCGTGTAAGTTAGACACGTCAACATACATACTTAAAATTATGCATTATATACATGATCATTTTAAAACCGTATGCCAGCTAATCAAACAAAAAAAACGAAAAAAAAAAAAAACAGATCATTTTTTTATGAGACCGTTGTGAAACCTTCATTTTACAAACATATTTATGTACAAGTTTTTACAAACCTATATACTTTGAAAATTGAAATCGACCCATCCTGATTCCCAATTCTATTTAAAATATCGAATAAAGATCCAACTGTTTAAATCAATGGTTTCCGCCCATGTTATTCTTGCGGTGAGAATATGAAGAATAAACTTTCGTTTGTTAAACCTTTGACCCACATTTGGTACCCAAGAACGTATCAAATAAATTCTTTCAAAGATCTTTAAAAATGATTTTGAAACCGATCGAACGGTAAATAAATCGGTTCTTCCGGATAATTTACCATCGCTGCGGGTGAAGTTGCTGAAACACATATTCATTAAACTCTTATGAAAAGCTTTGAAAATAAGTTTAAAGCAAATCGGACAAATCTTGTAGAATCTAGCTTTCCACCGAGTAATTTATGGGTGGAATTTCCCAAATCGAATGAATGAAACACGTGTCCATAAGGCTCTTAGAGCTTTGAAAATAAGTTTGATGATATTCGGACAAAACTAAAACCTAAAAACCCCTAAATAAGCCTGAAGAGATGGTAATGGAGATCAGTGTCATGGCTATGATCATAAATTGCTAAAATAATTGTAAGAAAATTCTATTCTCCTTAACAATATATTAATACTTTTTTATTAAATCGCATAACGGTTTAGCAATTGTTTCCGCTTAAAAAATCTTCATAAATATGAACAAAGCCCTAAGCAACTTTGAACCGTACTTTACCTTGTATAAGAAACATTTTTCCCGCTTCTATTCCCGTTTTGATTTTGCCGAGAGCTCCTTATATTGGGCTCGAAACTGTTGTTTACCCATGAGGCGTAGCTTTTCTGTTTTTCGTCAACCCTGGGAATGGACTTTATACTGCCCAAGGGTTATCTCCCCGCTTTCTACTATGGATATTTACATTTTTCATATACAAATACTTGTGGCACAGCTCCTCTAAGAATTTTCAGCTTTACTGCAACTGCTGCTAATTTTTGTTTAATAATTTGTGTCTCGAAGATCGAACGCTTTGCACTTCTAAAGTGGCTATATGTAGTTCACTCATATTGTTTTTTATCCCAGATTCTAGATTAGAAAAAATCAATTCGTCGCTAATACTGTCCGCTGAATTCTGCGATCTTACCGTTAATCTACAAAATACTATTATTCGTTTATGTATTTCGAGTCTCGTGTCGTACAATTCCTTTGGTCGTTTGGGCGGAGAGTGGACTGTAAAATGATATATCGCGATTTGGGCAAAAAAAAATGTGGAGTGAAATTTTAGAATTTATCGGATATTTTTTATTAAGTTTCGTTCTTTATTTTTTAATTTTTTTTTAGGTAATTGTTTATTTTTATTTACTTTTATGTTTTCACTCAGAATTTTCATTAATTTATTATATTTTTTTACAAAATAAAAAAATTAGATTATATTTCACAACGACGGCGTGGAGATTAGATTGGGTTAATCCAAAAAAAGTTATTTTATGGTATTATATTTAATAAACGGCTTTAAAGGTCGCCAATTGCCTTATGCACCATTTGTTTGTCGTTTGTTACATTCGCCAGGTTTTTGTCATGAAAAACTAGTTTAAATTTGTTATGTTGTGAGGTTTACCATATTATTATTTATCAGGTTGTCGGCCTGAGGCCCTAGGGATGGGTGGCCGCAGTTGGAGTATCTGGGCAAGTGTCCTTCTCCTTAGTCCTCCTTGGGGCGGTCCTGATTTGGTCTTCAACCCAGGGGACCTGCAGATCTCTGTGGATGACGTAAAGTAGCGCATCTGCCATCCCACGGAGAGCCTTGCTTTGAAGGGATTGAAGTCTCTTTCTGTTTGAAGGAGCAGCCGAGCCCCACATCTGTATGGCGTATCGCCAGATGGGTGCCACAACTTGTAAGTAGACAAGTCGTTTGCTTGCAAACGAAAGTTTGCTGCGAGAGTTAAGCAACCAATTTAGCTTGGACAGTTTTTTCGGCAGCGTTGCACAACACCTCTAATGTGGCTGGTGAAAGTTAAACGCTTTTCAAGGGTGACGTCCCAGTATTTTGTTTCGGTCTCTTGGTTTAGCGTCAGTCCATTTAGCCTCAGTGCTGGCGGTACTCCTCTTCAAATTGTGAAGCATACAGTGGTGCTTTTGGCAGGGCTTAATTTGACGTTCCAGCGTCGAGCCCATGAGGTAAGGAGGTCCAGGTAGTTCTGCGCAGCATCTGCAGCAACCGCTGGGGATCTGGCGCTGTCCATTGCGCAGACGTCGTCGCCATATGAGGCCATTAAGAGTGTGCGCAAAGGCAGTCCAAGGGCATGGCCGTTTGGAGTCAGCATGTTTGCAGAGAAGAGGCCCTATACCCTATAGTGGCCTTAGTACACTACCTTCAGGGACGCCAGCTTGGATGTGAATAATGGGGGACTGCTCCGCCCTTACTTTCGCCCTGAAAGAACGACCCTCCAAGTAGGATCGGATCAGACTGAAGTAGGGCTAGGGCAGACCGCGTTTCAATTTTGCCAGCAGCCCAAATACGATCAAATACCTGGCTGACGTCGACAAAGGCCGCCACACAGTACAATTTTTTGTCAAACGCCTCCAGAACGTGGTTGACGACCCGGTGTAACTGTTCCGTGGTTCCTTGCCCAGCGCGGAAGCCAAATTGGTGGTTTGGAATAAGGCACCGTGACTCTGCAATGACCATAAGTGCAGGCAGGAGACTAATCGGCCTATATGACTCGGGGTCGTCTTCCGGCTTGTGAATCATGGTCAGGATAGAAATTTTTCACACTTCTGGAAAGTATTTCACCCTCATTATGGCGTTGAATCTTAAGAACAGTAAGAGGACAGAATTCGCAGGGAGCGCTTTTAATGTGCGATTGCACACTAAGTCGTATCCCGGCTTTATTTGGCTTTAGGCGTTGTAGCACATTTTCGACCTCCTCTTTGGTAAGTGAAGTTGGGGGGAAGTCAGGCTCTTCGAGTTGGGCAGCAAAGGTTGCAGCCTGCTCTGCGTCCGAGCGGCACCAGAAGCCGTCGCTTTTTTGGAGGGGAGCCTGCATCAGAGGTTGGCGTTTTGCACCGCGTGTCGCCTTCCAGTGAGAATTCCGCGTTACGTTGGGATGACATGTTCAGCAGCATGTTATCAAAGTGACTAGCCCGCTGCGCTTGTAGCTCCCGATGCAGTTAGTCAGCTTTCCTGCGCCAGTTCGCCTTATCGATGGGGTGCCTAGTGCGCGACCAGATTTTGCGTAGACTTCTTTTGATACCCTTGTAGAGGGTATTATAATTTTGTCGTGAAATGTGTAACGCATTGAAGGAGACATCTCTGACCCCATAAAGTAAATATATTCTTGATCAGCATCAACAGCCGATTCGATAAAGCCATTTCCGTCTGACCGTCTGTCTGTTTCTATGCGAACTAGTCTCTCAGTTTTAAAGCTATCTTAATGTAATTTTGCAGAAGTCCGCCTTTCTGTTGCACTGACCACTATTTCATATAGCTGCCATAGGAACAATCGGTCGAAAATTAAGATTTTGTATGAAAAAACATTTTGTTTTTCAAGATATCTTGACCAAACTCGGCATTTATTAGTTTTACTATGCTTCTCATACATATGCACCGCGCACCTTTTCGGTAAAATCGCTGAGGGCGTCGTCGATATCCTCTGCGGAAGCTATATCCATGTCTGGGTAGATGGAATCGTTAATCTTGCGGCGGAAGTCATTGATATTGGTTGAGCTGTCGATGATCCCTTCCAGCCTTGGGTAGTATCTTGCAGCGGTGTTGATTGATATCATCAGTGGCAAGTGATCGGAGCTCAAGTCAGGGCGAGATTCTATTCTGAGCGTTCAGTGTGGGAAACCCCTGTATATTGTAAAATCGAGGCAAGAGGGTCTAAGATCTGCCTGTGGTGGAAACCTCGTGGAGCTGCCAGTGGCTAAACATTCTAGTCCCGCGTCGTGCATGAAATCGGTGAGCTCACGTTCCCTGGCGTTGCTGCGGCTGGCCCCCCAAAGCTGATGGTGTGCGTTCCAATCACCGCCCAATAAGCACTTTGGATCAAGGCTGCTGAACCGCTGACGGAGCTCGTTTGCAGTCCATCTGAAGCCAGGCTGGCAGTATATGGCTCCAAACTCGACGTCTTCAGCTGCCGTTGAGACTATTGCAGAGACCAACTGCAGGTCGGTTTCTCGTTGGTGAGCGGTGGGAAAGTGCGAGATTCCACTGCGGATGAGTATTGCGGCGCCACCCCAGCGTCGTTGCGCGGGGTGATTCGCTGGGTAGGAGGAGTAACCAGGAATGCGAGGAGTCTCCCGATCGTGCATGTCCGCGTCGCCTAACAGTGCGATGTCTACCTTGTGGAGCTGCATGTTGAGTTGCAACTCGTAGATTGGATTAACTGGATTAAATATAACATTTATTTGAAAAGTTTTCAGTCGCGGCTTCGATTTTCTTTTATTGATCACCAGGTACCTGTTGGCTTACAAGTTGACAAAATGATATTCTTTCGTTTCCAACTTAGTTGCATCGGGGTTCAGTTTGGCTGCCTGGTAATTGTTTCTTGCATTGCCCGTGGAAGCTGCTGCCGTAGCGTCCAGCCCAACACCTATATGTATTTATTCGTTATCAGATTCAGAAGAAAACTAGTTACGACAGAAATCAAATTTTAAGAAAATTATTAAACTATCAAGGTTTTTATATCAATTAAGTGTAAGCGATTAAATATTTGATTGGAATTGATAGATGAAAAACTATACGATGAAAAAAAGATTAATAAAAATGGGGCATGACTGGTCAGAGCCTCTTTATTATTTGGTTTCAGGCTGGGAATAAGGAAGTAAAAACGATTATACGAATTACCAATTTGTAGATTCGTTGAACCCTGAGTCAAGCTCCCATCAAAAGCATTCTAGATTCCTTCTACACATTAATACACAAGCTCCTCACATGTGCACACTTAGTTTACGCTATGGTTGCCCTGCTTCCTCCCTAAGCCTCCACTATTGAATATGCTATCAAAATTTTCTTTCGTTTTTTGTTGCCCAATCTCAATCAAATATTGGACACATAAATATTGCATGGAATTGTGTGTCAATAGTACACCGTATGCCACATTAAAAACATTGTTAAATTTTAGTGGAGTGGCGTGAAAAACTCAATTATATCCCGCTTGGAATATGCAGAGGATGTTGATGTATAGCGCTGAAATCTTCAGCATGAAGATATCGATTTTGTGCACAGACCATAACAAATGTTATGTTCAGGCAATACAATATTGAACACTACAAGTATATAATCGATCCTTTGTATTAGGTATATTTAAAGATTTTAATTTTTGAACTAATTTCCGCTGGTCATAAAATCATTTAAGTGATCAGTCATTTTACCTATTTACATATGCAGGTGCAGGTCCTTGATAAAAGTTGGCTCTTTCGGCCTAACGGTAATAAGGGGTCAACATTCATTCATCAATTCAAACCCGAATACATAAACAAGTAAGAGGTTCTTGTCGGGAGCTCCCGACTAGGGAATACCCTGAACCCTCTTATTCTGACACCAAATGCAGTTCGCGCAATGCGCTCGTTTGAAGTAATAAAGATAAATTTAAAAAAAAAGGTTCCTTGGCAGGGTTCGAGCTCGCAGCTAACCGTATTACTTGCTGACGACTCTACTCAACAGACAAACCAGCAACAAAAAAAAGTTTCCCCGGTAGGGCTCGAGCTCGCGACAGACCGCAACACTTGCTATGCCTCTACTAAACAGCCACATCGATAATTAAGTATTATTGAGAAAAAAACTAACCAAAATAGCAATACAGAAAATGCAATTACAAAGCTGTTAGAATGCGATAGAATGCGAAGCAGACGCGCATCAATGTGTGTGTGTACATGTATACAGAAATTCTTGATGTTTTCGCTAGCTGTGGCATCCAATTGCGCAGTTACATATAACTTTGGTTTTCTCTTAACCGATCTTTATGACATTTTCTACAGTATATCTTATTGTACCATAGAATATTTGTGTATTCTCAAAAGGTCAATTGCATTAAAATTGTGGCTTAGATTGGTTGGCAATATATAATATATTATTAACTTGATTTATAGCCCTGCTGTGTTAGCGAAGAGGTGGCGATATGTATAGAATTAAAGATACTTGATATATATATAATATTCTAAAAGCAACAAGTTTGGTGACTCTAGCTCTTAATATTTACCTACATTGATAAAAAAAAAATGTATCGATTGCTAGGAAACGAAGTAAGTTATCGACTATCTGAAACAACCTCGATCTGCGCAGGCACTAGCTCTTATAGGTTCTGAGATCCTTGCGTTCATACATACGGACGGACAGACGGGCGGACAGACAGACGGACATGGCTAGATTGACTCGGCTATTGATGCTGATTAAGAATATATATACTTTATGGGGTCGGAGATGCGTCTTCTGCCTGTTACATACATTTGCATTTTGCACAAATACAATATACCCTCTTTACCCATTTTTAATGGGTTCAGGGTATAAAAAGAAGGGCGCGTCAGACCCGTGCCAATAATGAATTTTATTTTGCGTTCATGATCTGCCCATTTACACTCATTTGTGTGTGTGTTTTTAGCGTCCGAAATACAGAAATCACAAAAACTGCAAGTCATGTCAAATTTTGCAAGGGACATAAATGGCGCATAAATGGTTATATTCATACACAAAATATGGAAGTATGCGTGAATAGCGAGTCCAAAATATTTTAAATGCACATATGGCAACGATTAGGTACCCTTTCCAACGATAACAAGCTAAAATGCAAGAATTTTGCAACGACGTGGCAAACCCTTTCATTATTTCATATTACTCGTCCCTTCAAAAGTGATGAAGGCCACCGACTTTTGAGAAAAATTGAATTTGTGGGCATTTTTGCTTGTGCGGACAAATACACACACAGACAGTACAACAGTAAATACACAAATTGAAAGAGCATTGAGAGTAAGCTAAATCAGTTTCCTGTAGTGCGAGGGAAAAAAAAAAGCAGCGATGTCGTTCTATCACAAGTCATATGTATTTTATGCTCTCTTGCTGTCTGAGCGCGCGAGCGTGTCTCGAACCCGAAAAAAAAACGAAGCCTTTGGACCAGCCGCACAAAAACGGAGAGGCCCCATCGCCGTCTACTGATTGTCCAGTCTATATGTTTTCTGCTTAGTGGTACAACTCTTGTCCATTAGGAGACACGGTTGACAATGTCGTCAAGTATATGCAGAATTGGTAACTGCCACACTCAACATTGTCGTAGTTTTCTCTTCTCTCCGAACACTGTCATTTGAAATAAAAAGAGAGCTCTGTGAAGAATGTATGCTTGCCTAGCTTAAGTTTTCATTATTAAAGCATTGTGGCCCACTTCACCATCGAATTTGCGCAGATTTGCGTCTAGCATGCCTCAGAATACGCAATCTAGCCCTCATCTCATGTCCGCGTAAAATTTCGCTTGCACTATCTGCCACCTTCCGCATTATTGCTACATTGCTGCTCATCATTGTTGGCAATTCCATTAAGGCTTTCAGCATTGACTTATTGACAGGAGGTGGTCGGCTGTATTGTTCAATTAGGCGTTCCCACCCAATATCATATACCGAGTCTGTGTTTGGCAAATGACGTATTAAGCAGCTATCGTCACGAAAAAGTCCTTAAATAATGTAATTTTTGAGTTATCAAATGTTTTTTATTGTGGATTATGGGTTCATATACATCTTGAAAAGGAAACAAAGCGAAGAATTCTGCATTGTCGCTAGTGGGGTGTCGACATATTCTTCAGTCGTGTCATACAGACACATGCTTTCGAACTCGACCCACAGCATCATAGTCGCATCCAGCTGGGGGATGCTCACCATAATAAAGCAAGCGTGTAAGACTTGCCCTTAAGAGATTTTATGGGTCAGAAAGATATGAACCTAATGGTTACACATTGAAATGGATCCGTTCCTCAAAACAAATATTCTCAACTTAAGCATATGAACTCTTTTATTAACTTCAGAACAATTTTCATAATATTTATTTTATCAAATTTTTTATAGGGTTATGAGTACTCAAGAAGTGGCAATCCCACTCGAAATGTGCTAGAGAATTGCTTAGCAGCGCTGGATAATGCAAAATATGGCTTAACTTTTTCATCTGGACTCGGCGCAACTACTGCTGTCCTTACAATGCTCAACAGTGGAGATCACATTATAATGGGAGATGATGTGTATGGTGGGACAAATCGACTGATAAGGTAAGATTAAATTTATACTAGTTGTGCATAACAATAAACACATTAGTTTGTTACAATCAGGCAAGTTGCATCACGTTTGGGAATATCCGCAACTTTTGTTGATGCCTCTAATTTGGAGAATCTTAAATCTGCTTTTAAATTGGAGACAAAGGTAATTCATTTAAATATTTTATTCTAAAAAATGAACAAAATTCATGCCATTCAGTGCAGTGAAAAACAACACATGTATACATATTTTAATGTACTCATGCATGCAAAATGCAAACATTCCAACATTGGTGCTTGCGCGCCATTGACTGTGAACTTGTGAATTTGCCTATAAAATTGATTAACATTATTAAGGGTAATATAACATTCTTATAAGCATGCATATCATGGATAAAGCCTCGATCGTAAATATACAACTTTTACGCTCAATGTGCTTTGAAAACGAAATGACGAAAAGCCTGCTGAAATCAGGCTGGCAACTAACTTCGTTGCTCGTGTCAGCCTCAGCAAGCCGCGGCATCGGCATTAGTTCGCCTGGCGTTTGGAGAGCGAAGAGCCAGTCGGCTGGCGTGTTATTAGAAGTGGGAAAAGCCAGATGAAAAGCCAGACCAGAAATTTTGCCTCGCATTCAAATATATGGGCGTTACTCATCTTAGTGTTTATATTATATTTTATAATAACTTGTATATAATTTAAATATATATATTCTGAACCCATTAAAAATGGGTATAAGGGTATATTGTATTTGTGCAAAATCCAAATGTATGTAACAGGCAGAAGGAAGCATCTCCGACCCCATAAAGTATATATATTCTTGATCAGCATCAATGGCCGAGTCGATCTAGCCATGTCCGTCTGTCTGTCCATATGTATGAGCCAAAGGATCTCAGAACCTATAAGATATAGAGAGAAATTTTAGATGTAGATGCTCCTAGTTCCCGCGCAGATCGAGTTTGTTTCCGATAATCGATAACTTACTCCGTTTCCAAGCAATCGATAAAAATCGATATCGACATCCTGTTTTTTTTTAGCAAATTGGGTAAATAATAAGAGCTAGAGCCACCAAACATGATATGTTGCTTCTAGAATATCATAGATATTTCAAGTATCTTTCATTTCATACCTACCACCTACCTACCTACTACCGCCACCTCCCCGCTACCACCCTAGAGCTATAAATCAAGTTAATAACCCAACTTTTATTGCCAACCAATTTAAATGCAATTAATTTTTTTTAGAATACACAAATATTCTATGGTATAATAAGATATACAGTAGAAAATTTCATAAAGATCGGTTAAGAAAAACCAAAGTTATATGCAACTGCGTAATTAAAATGGGCAGCAGCTTTAAGAATTTCAGTTTACATGTACACACCCACATTCATGCGCATCTGCTTCGCATTCTTGGTAATTGCATCTTTTTTTTGTAATGTTATTTCAGTTCTTTTTTTTATCATAAGTACTTAATTGTTGGTGTGGCTGCTGAGTAGAGGCATAGCAAGTGGTGCGGTCTGTCGCGAGTTCGAGCCCCAACGGGGAAAGTATTATTATTTTTTTTTTGCTGGTGTGGCTGTTGAGTAGAGTCGACAGTAAGTAATGCGGTCAGTTGCAAATTCAAGCCCTGCCAAGGGAACTTTTTTTTATTAATTTATTTGGTGTTGGAATAAGAGGGGTCAGGGTATCCCCTAGTCGGGAGCTCCCGACTAGAACCTCTTACTTGTTAGTATCTATAATTATCACAATCTCGGGAGATGTTACTCTAAAAAAATTTGAAAATACAATTATTCTGGAACTTTATATGTTGCCTAGTGTGGATACACTCCTTCCTGGCATGATTTTAGTATATCCTCACACGTCTTTTCTTTAGTTCTTCGCCTCATTAATTAATTTCTTTTTTTTTCTTACAATATTGGGTGGTTTTTTATACATGAATTTATTTATTTACTATTTATTTTTTAACTTTAAGCTGTATACTTACTTTCAAAAAGTTTTTTCAAAATTACTAATCATCGATAGTTTTATTCCTTATTGCTAGCAATCAACATATGTATTATACTCCATGAGTCTTTTGACATTAAGCCTCTCCTGACGCGTCGCTTTCTTTGTACACCCTCTCGCTGATATCCAAGTTTGGAGCTAAGGCACACTATGGCTTCTTTTGATTAGATCACATTGCAGTTGCGTCGTTATGATACAGAATGGTCAGAAAGATCCTCAATTATGTAACGGTCTTTGCCCAAGACCTTGATTAATTATATGGTCCTTAAATTAGGGTCCTGAGGTCACTGGAACAAAATCAATGACTACCAAATCATCTATTTGAATCTTGTTTGGCTTCGTATTTTTAACGTCATAGCGCTGCTACCATTTTTGCTGCTCGCTGGATATATTTTTAGCAGTCTGCTGTCTTCCCATTTTAACATTTAAATTCATATCTGCCTGAACTATGCGTTTGTATGATACGTCTCTCAAATTAAAGTTAAATTTTAAGTTGCTTGGACGGAGGGTCATTGATGGAAGTAAAGAGTTGCGGACCAAGTTGACTAACGTAGGTGACACCTGAATACATTTAAAAACCGAATTTCTGGAAAGAATCCAGTTCAGAAGATTTACTGAGAAGCCGAGAAGGCAGAAGGAGTGAATAACGAAGTCGAAAGCATTACTTAAAAAATTATAGATGTTATCAGTCTGCATTCTTTACTTAAAACTATAAATTGCTAGGGAAGTAATCACAAAAAGATTAGTAGTTGCACATCTACGCTACTGGGATGGTCATATAATAGAGCTACATAAATGTTGCCGTTGAGCTGTGGCGATATCGGATAATTTGGAAATACCTCTACAGTTTTTGACATCAGATTTACTGCATGAGATTCACTTTAACCTCTGTATCTGATAAGGCTGAATTTTATTATACCCACTGGAGGAGTCGGTAGTTTGAAAAAAGCAGATCGGCAATGCCGATTCTGGTTCCGTAGTCTCACGCTCAACTGCAAACTTAACCAAAGATGGTAAAATAGATGTCTAACGTTTGGAGTTATTATAATTAAAATAAATGCTTAGGATAATATGAACAGTGAGGGTGACAACTGCGAAGGTAATCCTTAAAGCATATATAATGTTGCGTAGCAAAGTTTGATCTCGCATCTGCATAACGGGAGAACTCACTCTGATTTCTCGATTTCTTATATTTCCATAACACGTCGACTCTTAAGATCCAGGATGGCCTATCAGACTTCGCTGGGTAATCAAAAGGGACCCAAATATTAAAGTATAGGGCACCACAAAACAGTTTACTGGCAACATCAATGTCTGCACAATTGTGCGGTTGGGACCAATTGATTTGCAGAATAAGAAAATTTATGAAAATAATGAAAATCAGGCTTACCAAAACAATGGACATGATCAGCTTATTCCGATTCCTTGAGCCTTGCAAGGGCTGGTAGATCAATGACCAAACCCAATATTGGATGAAAGGGGTCTCAGGAAGTGAAAGCGGCTTAATCCTGTGCACAACGCTTTGGAACGAATGTACTACGAAGCTCAAATGAAGAGATCTTTCTCTTATGTTATGCACCCGACTAACGTGCGGTAAAGACATCTCATGTAGACCATCAATAAACTCATGTGACATAAAGAATATAGAAAGATTGAATACTTTGGTGATGACCAATCGACATGTGGGAGATTAAAGCCGTCATTAACAACCAAGAGGTCTTGATCAAATAGTAAGCAGGATTTAGATTTAAATGCATTTGCATCCACAAGCTCCAGTTCTGAAATGGGAAGCACATGGAGTTTCGACGAAAGAGACAATTCAACAGCTAGCTTCTTCTCGACACAATCTAAGTGGTGTATTTGGAAGTAAATATTTAGGAACTTGAAATAGCCACCTTTAGCCGAGTCCTAGTAAATCAATAATATCAGATTCTGCATGCAGGCCAACACGTTAAGATGCTTGCATCATCCGATGAGCAATGAGGAGAAAAAATGAAGAAGCCAGAAACCAAAAATATATTTTTTCTGTGGAGTACTCACTAAGGCTTAGGCAGGTGTGATAGTGGGAACACTGTCAGCTGTGGTTTCTAAAACGGCCGGTGTTCCGGACGATGGGCTCTGTTGCTCTGCACTACACGATAAAACGATTGATTTTTTTCGTACTGATGTTTCAAATTGCGCATCTGAACTTGTTTACGCGAACAGACCCATAAAGACAATACTGGTCTGCCGCATAAACGCATGTATATCTCCATCAGAATCCCAACACAATTCGCTACTATATTGCAAAACATTACGTTGGAAAATAGCATCCCCCTTCGCCTGTATGACCGGCACATTTAGAATGCACAACATTATCACATAGGCAACAAGGCATTCTTGATTGACTTGCCGTAATATCACCTTGGCATGTTTTTCTAAAGCAAACATTTTTTTGATCTATTATTATGTGTTTCTATTGAAACAAGCGCATCCAAATGTAAGAAGAGTGTAAAGTAAGAAATTATTAAGAGCGTACACAATATCAAAGCACAGGTTAAAAAGCGCGAGAGAGCGAGAGAGTATATATTTCCTAATTACACCCTGAACCCATTAAAAATGGGTATAAGGGTGTATTGTATTTGTGCAAAATCCAAATGTATGTAACAGGCAGAAGGAAGCATCTCCGGCCCCATAAAGTATATATATTCTTGATCAGCACCAATAGCCAAGTCGATCTAGCCATGTCCGTCTGTCTGTCTGTCCGTATGTATGAACTCAAGGATTTCTGAACCTATAAGAGCTAGAGAAATTTTAGATGTAGATGCTTCTAGTGCCCGCGCATATCGAGTTTGTTTCCGATAATCGATAACTTACTCCGTTCCCAAGCAATCGATAAAAATCGATTTCGATATCCTGTTTTTTGGGCAATTTTGGTAAATAATATGAGCTAGAGTCACCAAACTTGAAATATAGCTTCTAAAATAGAATATATATATGCATTTGATGTTGGAAAAAGAGGGTTCAGGGTATCCCCTAGTCGGGAGCTCCCGACTAGAAGCTCTTACTTGTTTTTATACCCTGAACCTGAACTGTATATATATTCTTGCAAAAACACACCTGAACAAAATTCGCATCATTCAGGCCAAAACCCTGCGCAAAATAACTGGAGCCGAATGGTATATTCGAACACGAGACATTGCAAAGGACCTTAAGGTTACTATGATAGGAGACCTTATTAATCAACAAACAGCAAGTCACTTATGTAAGCTCCGCAACCACCCTAACGTCTTGGCAAGAAACCTGCTAAGGAGACGAAGAAGGAGGCTTAAAAAGTGTTATCCTATAGACCTGGCCAAACGCCGACTATAATGAAGCAAAATTAACATGTACATATATATACACATTGTAAATATTTAACTTAAGCTTTCATTACCCAAAACTCACGCTGATAAAAGTTGCTAAAAGTGAAAAGTAACAGAAAATTAGCAAAAATAAAAGTAACTTAAACCATAAAAAAAAAAAAAAAAAAAAAAAAAAAAAACAAAAAGTCAATTGCATTAAAATTGTGGCTTAACTTGGTGGCCAATATAAGTTGGGATATTGACTTGATTTATAGCCCTGCGGTGGTAGCGGGGAGGTGGCGATAGGCATAAAATGAAAATACTTGATATATATATATAATATTCTCGAAGCAACATATCAAGTTTGGTGACTCTAGCTCTTAATATTACCCAATTTGCACAAAAAATAGGATGTCGATATCGAGTTTTATCGATTTCTTGGAAAGGGAGTAAGTTATCGATTATCGGAAACAAACTCGATCTGCGCAGACACAATGAGGACCTACAGCTAAAATTGCAGGTCTCTAGCTCTTATAGGTGAGATTGTTGCGTTCATACATACGGACGGACGGACGGACAAACAGACGGACATGGGCAGATCGACTGGGCTATTGATCAAGAATATATATACTTTATGGGGCCGGAACTGCTTCTTCTGCCTGTTACATACATGTGAATTTTACACAAATACAATATACCCTTTTTACCCATTTTTATAGGGTCCAGGATATAATTAGCTTAATTATTTAATTTTACCAAAGAAAACCAGTAAGAAGCTCTAGTCGGAAGTTCCTGAATAGGGAATACTCTGAAGCTCGTTCTACCAACATCAAATACAGCTCGCGCTATGAGCTCTGCTTTAGCAGTAATAAATAAAAATATTAAAATTGAGTTTTCCCAATTGGCTCGAAGCCGTATCTGGCTGCAAATACTTACCAACATCTCTACTCGACAACTAAAAACGGATAAAACTAGCAGCATATACACACAGCGTAGAACACAATCGAATTGCGTAGCTGCCGCAAATACATCTCAAAATAACCATCCTTTTTTTTTAATAACGTCTGATATTAATGACATGTTCAGCAGTAGATAGTATTGTGCTATAGAATATCCGTATATTCGCAAATAGACAAAAGCAATAAAATTGTCGCTTACATTGGTGGGTAATGTCAATTGATTTATTTAATTTATTTATAGTAAAGTGGCAGAGGCAGGGATATTTAAAATGAAAGATGCCTGATCTGATATTTAGAGATTTGCCTTTAGATTTCAATTTTTCTCAATGGCTCGGAAACGGGGACATTTATCGATTTTCTAAATCGTACGTGCGGGCACAAGTCTCTAGCTGTGACATACATGCGAATATATATATGTATACATTATGGGGTCCAAGATGTTTCATTCTACCTGTGTTTTTACACATTCTCAATGGGTTCACGGTTAAAAAGCAAAATAAAACAAGTACATAAATAAATAAAATTAGTTATTATAGCAATTCCGCAATAAAAAAACACCGTGTTTGCTTAATACATTAATGAATGATTTATTTAATAATAAACACTAGTAAATACTTAATTATAACTATCTTTTCAGCTAGTTTGGATAGAATCGCCGACAAACCCACTAATCAAAGTTGCGGACATCGAAGCCATTGCAAAAATATGCCATGAAAAAGGAAACATAATTGTTGCGGTCGACAACACATTCCTGACCTCCTATTTTCAAAGGCCGCTTGAGTTAGGAGCTGATTTAGTTTGCTACTCATTAACAAAATACATGAATGGACATACTGATGTTGTTATGGGTGGCATAACAATGAACTGTGAAAATCTTTATACAAGATTAAAATTTTTACAAAATGGTTTGTTGATGAAAGTGTGTATGCAAAAGACTTATATATTAATTTATTTTCTTACCTTTTGCAGCGGTTGGTATAGTTCCATCTCCATTTGATTGCTATCAGGTTAACCGTAGTCTGAAAACACTTTCATTACGTATGAGACAACACCAAAAAAATGGAATTTCAATAGCGAAATTTCTTGAATCACATGCTTTCGTTGAAAAAGTACTACATCCAGCGCTGGAATCGCATCCACATCACTCTATAGCTCTAAAACAGACATATGGCTATAGCGGGGTGTTTTCATTTTACATAAAAGGCTCTTTAAAGCATGCTACAGCATTCTTAAAGGCTCTTAAATTATTTACATTAGCAGAAAGTCTTGGCGGATATGAGAGTTTAGCTGAGTTACCGTAAGTAATAATTTCAACAAGTAAGAGGCTCTAGTCGGGAGCTCCCGACTAGGGGATACTCTGAACCCTCTTCTTCCAACATCAAATTCATATATATTCTGTTTTAGAAGCTATATGGCAAGTTTGGTGACTCTAGCTTTTATTTTTTATCAAAATTGCCAAAAAACAGGATATCGATATCTATTTGTATCGATTGCTTGGAAGCGGAGTAAGTTATCGATTATCGGAAACAAACTCGATCTGCGCGGGAAGCAGCTCCGACCTCATGAAGTATATGTGTTCTAGATTAGTCCGACTGTCTGTCCGTATGTATGAACGCAAGAATCTCAGAACCTATAAGAGCTAAAGACTTGCAATTTGTGGGTCCTCCTAGTGTCCGCGCAGAACGAGTTTGCTTCCTATATTCGATGACTTACGCCGTTTTAAAGTAATCGATAAAAATATATATCAAAGTCCTTTTTTTTAGAGAATTTGTTTAATAAAAAATGTAGCTTCTAGAATAGTATATATATATATATATATATATATATATATATATATATTATATATATATATATATATATATATATATATATATATATATATATATAAAGTATCTTTCATTTTATAGTTATCACCACCTCCCCGCTACTACCATATAGCTATAAATCAAGTAAACAAACCAATTTATACTACTTACCAATTTGAACGGCCATTTAAATGCAATTTCATCATTCATTTCATCAAGATCGGATGAGATACACAGAAGTTACTAGAGAAAACGTGTTTTGGCAACATCTGCTGTAGGAGATCAATAATCACGGCAATAAGTTTCAGATCATCAGCATACATATATTTATATTATATTTGCGGCAGCTAGCGCAAACGGCCAGAATTTCAGTATATATGTACACACACATTCATGCAATGGTTGCTTATTGAATTCTATAAACAGCACTGTAATGCGTATATAGGCTGTAAATTTGTAGTTTGGTGGCTAAAAAGCATTTGGAAACTGCAAATCATTAGGAGTAGCCTTTGTATGTCTTGAAGTACACCCAAGAGTTTTGGGCTATTGAATTTAGTGACCAAGGCTGTGCTCTAATCATTAAGTTCGCACTAACATCCGCCATCAACCGTCCTACACGAGTCGAAGCTACAATGAAAGCCATTTCGTAGGGCAAAACATTAGAAAACAATAGGATGGTTTAATGCAGTTAACGTTACAAATAGTGCCTCAGATATTTATATTTTTATGTATCATTTTTCTTCGTCAATTGCTTAGCTTTCCCCACGCCAGACGCTTGCAATAGTCAACATGATTTGTTGGATTGATTGGCAGTAATTTGCTTTTTGCAATTAAATCAAATTAGCAATAAGTGAGAAATCGCAACATTACCATTAATTAGCTGAACACAGGTTGATAAAATCAATGAGAGCGCGAGATTGCATTTAATCCAAAATATTGTAATTTATTTATCGATTACACACGGTAGCAATATTCAGCCCTATCAGCAGAAACTTCAAAAGCAATTTCACCAATTAAGTTGGTATATATAAATTGGTAATTAATCGCAAGGGTTTCAATAAAAATCAAAGGATATGCCCACAAAAAGCAAGTGTTCACTTTGAACCGATTACATTGCTCAACAATTTACACAAGTATATATAGTCTCTAGCATTAATAAGGCTGAAATTACGTTCGCGGTCAACAAAATTAATTATGCACAATGCCAATATATTTCTTTGAGAACTAGTATGAAAATTTCTTTTTGCCTCTCCGTTATGATAAAGGGGATATAACTATGTAAAGAACAAATAAAAGTGCATATAACATTCCCATCTACAAGATTCAAATCCCGCTTCTTACAATAAAAATTACTGTTAGAAGAAAAAAACTAAGATAAATTAATATCAATTTTACTTTTAAATAAGTGAGTACTTTTAATTTACTCAAAAAATTTAAATATCATAGTAGTTTAAATGTTGCGTACCAATCTTATAAAAAGTATATTATTATTAGTATGCTGTAATAATTATTTAAAAGTCTAGCTATTTTACGCAAAGTACAGTTTATTTTCATATGCTTATGTTGGTAAACCGCTACAAGGATATTTAAAGCAAACTACAGTTTATTTTCATATGTTTATGTTGGTTAAACGCTACAAGGATATTGAGTCCTTCTTCTTTCTTTAATAAACAGATTTCTGTATTTTTTAAATTCATTTTATTTAAGGTCAATAATGACTCATGCCTCTGTTCCTATTGAAGACCGAAAGTTGTTGGGTATTACTGATGCTCTTATTCGTTTGTCAGTCGGCCTTGAAGACTCTGACGATTTGATAGATGATCTGCGACGCGCTTTGGATATTGCAGCCCAAGCTTAAAAAGTACAGCTGACAAGGACAATAATGTAAAATACAAATAATAAAAATGTTTTTATATATTATCAGTAATTCAGTGTTTTATGTTATAATATTAATGTATTTGTAGGTATAGTTTTAAGGGACTCTCACAAAGAAGAGTGGCTGATAGCATTGGGACGGCGGACTCCGACCTGCGTCTTCCTTTAAGTAGAGCCTAGATTCTGCGTTAGGAGAGATGTGCAGTTTGAATATGTGGCGACTTGTAAAAAAGTTGACATGCAGAATCTTTGGATGGATTATCAGATTCTTGCTAATTCCTTAAGGAAATAGGATGTCACCATGGCGTTGGTGGAAGACCACGGAAAATCTAAATCCCATAACAGGGATAACAATTACAAAGGAAAATTAGTGGGTCTTATACATCTTTGTCGAAGATACCAGCGTGACTAGAGACCCTGTGTTGGTCGAGTGCTGCTATCTGTGAGGAAATTATCATATTTTTTCTTAGATCTTTTTCAAAAATTTTTTTTAATGACGTGAAACAGAGACTTAAAGACGCTGGACAGGATTCCCATTGCAATAGCAATTCAAATGTTAGGTCTAAAATCCCTGCAGTCGACCCTGCTAAAAATTGGATCCTTTAGTGAAATGCTGCGGATTCCAAGATCGCTAAAGGGGTTGCCTTTACTACATGTGTTAAAATAGTGACAATAAGCTGTTAAGCTTCTTTATAATCTGGCAACATTGTATCAGCATAGTACTCATTCTGTAATTGAGTACTTGTTCAGATTTTTGTACTCATGCTTTGAAGTTTCCATTAAACGTTTAACCGAACCACTACGTGTGTTTTCTTTATGTGCATCTTAGGCACACTAGAAATATCCCAACATTGGTTATGGGCCCAGGTCTCGTTGTTTTCGGTTAAATAAGTACACAAAGTGTCTATGGTTTTGAAAGCTTCCTTTTTGTTAAATTTTTAAAAAGTTTATTTCGTGCGAAGAATAACGTGGTGAAATTGTCAAAATGAACATGTCGCATCAAATAGAAAAACTTGGTGAGGACAATTATGACGTATGGCATATGGCCATGAAAAGTGTCTTGGTGGTGGCGGACCTATGGAATGTTGTGTGTGGAAAATATGTTAAGCCAGAAGGAAATGGTGAGGATATCGAAAAATGGGTTAGTGTCGACCAAAAAGCGATGGCTTACATAATTTTAAATCTGAAGCCAACACAGTTGATGCATATCAAGTCATGCCCAACATCTGCAGCTGTATGGAAAAAACTAAAGGAAATTCATGTCTCAGTTGGACCGATTAGGAAGGTCCAATTATATCAAAAATTAATACGTTTCAATATGCAGCAGGGTGACGATGTAGTCGCATATGTCAATTCATTTGTTGAGACAATTGAAAAGTTGGCAGAATTAGACATCAAACTCAATGACGAGTTGCAGGTCATCATGTTTTTAAGCAGTTTACCAGACACATGGGAAAATTTTGTAATAGCGATTGAGACACGCGATGAGCTGCCCAAATTCGAAGTCGTCAAGGTTAAAATGTTAGAAGAGGCCACGCGAAAGCAAGAAAGAGCTAGCAGAGACGGCATAGGGACACCAGAAGCAGTGTATACACACAAACATAATGGACCGCGGGACAACAACAGTGTCGAAAGCAAAGGCAGAAAGAATAGCAGTAAGCAGCCATTCCGAGGCAAATGTTTTAATTGCGAAAAAGAAGGGCATCGAGCGAGCGATTGCCGAAATAAAAAGAAGGATGATAAAAAGAGCCAAAAGGACGAAAAGTCTCTATGCTTAATGCACACGTGTGTCAAGGAGAAGCAAAAGAGTTTTTGGTGCGTTGACAGTGGTGCAACATCGCACATGTGCTGCGACCGCAGCATGTTCCTTACGTATGCTGATAAAAAGACGTCGATAATGTTGGCCGCAAATAAGTTTATCGATTCAGTTGAGTTGCACTGCAATAGAATAAAATTAAAGCTGCAAAATGTTTTATATGTCCCTGACTTAAGCATGAATTTTTTATCAGTAAGTGCTGCAGCAAAGTTTGAGAATTCTACCATATTTGAAGGGAAAATTGCGCTGATAAAAGACAAAGAAGGCAACGAGATAATAAGGGCAAGACACGAAAATGGTTTGTATGTTTACAAACATAGTCTTGATCAGGTTCATATGCTAAAAAGTTCTGATTCATCTTCCATAAAATGGCACAATAGATTTGGCCACCTGAATTTTAAGGATTTGAAATTGCTTAATGATAAGCAACTGGTGCGTGGTATGAAAGTTGAAAATGTACAATTAGAAATAAATTGCGATACATGTAATAAAGCAAAAATTTGCGCATTGCCATTCCCACAGAAAGCGAATCGTGTCTCAAAGCAAGTACTGGACTTAGTACATACAGACGTATGTGGTCCGATGAATGTTAAGTCGCTTGCAGGCAATCGATATTTCGTAACTTTTATTGATGACTACTCACGCAAGATATTTGTTTACCTTATGCACTCAAAAAGCCAAGTTTTTGAGAAGTTTAAAATGTTTAAAACTTTTGTAGAATGCCAAACAGGTAATAAAATAAAGGCTGTGCGCAGCGACAATGGAACAGAGTATGTGAATAAGCAATTCACTGAATTTTTGATCGAGTGCGGTATAAAGAGGCAATTAACAGTTCCTTACACTCCGCAGCAAAATGGTGTGGCCGAACGTGCTAATCGGACCATCGTTGAAATGGCAAAAAGTCTTCTAATTCATTCAAAGCTTGAAGAATTTTTGTGGGCAGAGGCTGTTGCAACAGCAGTTTATTTGCGCAACAGATGTCCCACAAAAGCATTAGATGGAAGCACACCATTTGAGGTATGGAAGGATCGCAAGCCATCAGTACAGCACTTGAGAGTATTTGGCTCGCGGGCATTTGCACTCGACAAAGTCAGAAAAAGCAAGTTCCAAGCAAAGGGCAAGGAGTACATTTTTGTTGGTTACTCCTTTACAGCAAAGGCATACCGCCTATATGATCGCGAGAAGCGAACAGTTATTGAAAGAAGGGATGTCAAATTCATTGAAGGTGAGTTTGACATAGCAACAACTGATGCATGCAGTATTTCAGACAGAAACACCTTCACGACGTACATTATCCCGTTTGAGTCAAATCATGAGGTTACAAAAAACCACCCAGAGCAACCTGCCGAGGTGCAAGAGTACAACAGTGACTCAAATGAAGAAGAAGAGGAGGATTTTGTGAGCGCAAGCGATCCAGGAGAAGATGGCAACGATGACGACAATGACCAAGTAGCGCTGCCACAAGTTGAAGCTGTAGTAAAACATGGGCGTGGCAGGCCAAAAATTATACGTACAGGTCAGCCAGGCAGGCCCAGAAAGCAGTACCAATTGATCAATAGTCTTAATCAGATTGAAGACATTGAAACTCCGCAGTCAGTTGCAGAAGCATTACATGGCCAAAATGCGCAGGATTGGGAAAAGTCTATGCAAATAGAGTACGACGCTTTACAAGCAAATGAGACATGGTCAGTGTGTGAGCTACCTCCTGGACAAAAGGCCATTGGTTCAAAATGGGTTTACCGAATCAAGAGAGATAAAGATGGTAATATTGAAAAATTTAAGTCTCGACTAGTTGCACAAGGTTGTGGTCAACAATTTGGTGTCAATTACTGGGAAACGTTTTCTCCCGTAAATCGATATGAAACCATTCGCATGTTATTCGCAATAGCTGCCGAAAAAGAGCTGTATATGCATCAAGTCGACATTTCAAACGCATACTTAAATAGTAAGCTTAATGAAACTGTGTACATGAAACAGCCGCCGAATTTTATTGACAAGCAGCATCCAAATAAAGTCCTCAAACTAGAAAAGGCACTTTACGGGCTTAAACAATCCGGACGAGTTTGGAACAATACGCTCGATGAGGTATTGAGAGGCATGGATTTTAAAAGATGCAAAAATGAAACATGCTTATACGTCAAGCAAAAGCAACAACAATTCAGCTACATCGCTGTCTACGTCGACGATTTAATCATAGTGTGTCCCAGCGAAGAAGACATAGCCGTGATTAAGAAGAAGATTGCATCAAATTTTAAAATGCACGATGGTGGCCCCATTAGCTATTTCCTAGGCATGGAAATCCAACGCGACGGCGATCGAGGCACATTCAAGGCCTATTGGACAAGTATGGCATGAGCAATTGCCGTCCAGTAAGCACACCTCTTGACCCAGGTTTTCAAGTGGACTGCAACGACGATACTTGTGTAAAGGTAAATATAACGCAATATCAGTCATTAATTGGTTCGCTTATATACTTAGCAGTTTTGAGCCGACCAGAAATTTGGCATGCTGTAAACAAATTATCACAAAGAAATGCTAATCCTCATGGAGAACACCAGTCTGCAGCAAAGCACATTCTAAGATATCTTGCGGGTACAAAGAATATAAAATTAGTATACCGTAAAAATGGCAAACCACTAAAAGGCTATGCAGATGCAGATTGGGGCAACGATCGGCTGGACAGGAGATCCTATAGTGGCTACGCATTTTTCCTGGCAGGCAGTGCGTTCTCTTGGACTTCATCAAAGCAAAGCGTTGTCGCATTGAGCAGCACTGAAGCAGAATATATTTCTTTGTCCATGGCTGCCAAAGAAGCAGTTTATCTACGCAGGCTACTTAGTGAGATGGGATGGTCAAAGGATACAGAGCCGTTGACTATATGTGGCGACAACCTAAGCGCGCAACATATTGCGCAAAATCCAGTCCATCATAAGCGCACTAAGCACATAGACATAAGGTATCATTTTATACGTGAAAAGGTACAATGTAATGATATTGCATTAGAATACGTACCTACAAATAATAATGTTGCAGATATACTAATAAAATGTTTAAGTAAGCAAAAGCACGTAGGCTTTGTAAAAACACTTGGATTGAATTAAATTTGTTATTTTGCAACTGATTATAATTAGCTTAAGAAGAAGTGTTAAAATAGTGACAATAAGCTGTTAAGCTTCTTTATAATCTGGCAACATTGTATCAGCATAGTACTCATTCTGTAATTGAGTACTTGTTCA